TGTAATGAGTTTTTGATTTAGCGTTTAGGGTATAACAATGGGAAAATTCCTGAAAAACACCCGAACTTAGTTGCATTTGCTGAAAAAATACCCAAACTTTTTTGGCTACTCGATAAATACACCAACTATTACAAATTGTTATTTATATACTCGAACTTTTAAAATGGATTGGTTTTACTACCTCGACATTAACGGTGTCAATCCGACTAATGGAAGTTACTGTTTGCTACAGTATCTTCTTCTTCTCCAAATAGATTTTGGGATTTAAGAATCCTAAAACCCCAAATTGATTTTAGATTTCAATTCAAATTCCCTTAAATTACCTTCTTCCTTTAGTCGGATTCGTAACCTGAGAAACAAATTCTTGATTTTGCTCATTTTCATGGAAACCCATCTCCATAAGAAATGCCTTGAGGTTTGTTAAATCAGATTTTAGAGGGTAGTTGCAGAGAGAGAAGAAATGGGTTGTAAAACCAAAAATTAAAGGAAATTTAAATTGAAATCCAAAATCAATTTGGTGATTTAGGGTTCTTAAATCCTAAAATCGATCTGGGGAAGAAGAAGGTACTTTAGCAAACAGTAACTTCTGTTAGTCGGATTGACACCTTTAATGTCGAGGTAGCAAAACCAACTCATTTTAAAAGTTCGAGTATATAAAGAACAATCATAAATAGTTGGTGTATTTATCGGATAGTCAAAAAATTTTGGGTATTTTTTCAGCAAATGCAACTAAGTTCGGGTGTTTTTCGGGAATTTTCCCGTAAAACAATACGTACATAACTTGTGATATATGGTTTTGGTTTTTAATGGATAAATGAATGTTTGATTTATAGTTTAGAGATTGAGGGTATGGTTTTGGATATTATAATACAAAGATAATTTTGATATAGGGTTTTGACTTTTATAGATAAATGAGTGTTTGATTTGAGAGGTTCGGATATCATAATACATAAAATAACTTTTTACATAGGATATTAGTTTTTGTGAATAAATGAGTGTCGGGTTTAAGGTTTAGGGTATCACATTAGATACGTAACTTTAGACATTGTTGAGATTCAAAGAATTTGTGTAGTATATTTAAGGTTTGTTCCATTTATTGAATAATTTGGATTTACCCATTTAGGGTATAGATATGGTTTAAAAAAAATTACTTTAGATAAATTTTTATTCTTAATAATATTTGACGAAGTTCAGTTTTACTAAATTCATGAAATTTTAATGGTTTAAGATTATAATTACAAATGAATTCAATTAGTTTTAATCGTTGTTTAGAGTTCAATGTTAAGAATTTTACATTACATACATACATTTGATATAAGGGTTTGACTTTTTAAGAGATATAACTGTTTTGTTTTAAGATTTGTAAGATTCGCTGCTCTTTAGAGTTTTAACTAAAAGTTGGATTAACGAACGATTGGAATTATTTTTCCGATTTGTTTCTCTTCTTTATGGATTTGGGATTACTTTTGTCGGTATTTGGAATTTAAAAGATTGATGTTTACTAGGTTTCATCTTCTGTGTACGTTTGATTGAAAAGGGAGTTATACCAAATCGAATATTAGGTTAAAAACTCACAGTACTGAATCTGAGTTTAAAGTTGTTAACACGTTTACCTTCGTTCTGATATGTGTCCTACTTACAGAAAAGATTCATTGCTTTGTTCTCATTGAATTCTTGAATAAAAGGATGGTTTTGTGAACGTGTTAGCATTGAATCTCACTGGGATTTAATGAGTATTTCTTTGTATGTTTATGTATAGATGATCTTGAAAGTGTACTTACATATTTTGATTTTGAGAAAAGTGATATGTGTTTGGTGTTTGATAATTTTTAGAATATGATTTGCAAGTTAGTAATTTTCAGTCTCTTGTTGTCTTTCGCAGATGAATCTCAGAGGTCCAGGTCCATCACAGCGATTTGTCCGGTCTCGCCAAACTCGTTTGCCTCCTGGAGCAACTGGACCAACGAGGTCAGCCAAGAAAGATGGCACTTATGTTGACAAGCGAGCAGAAGCTAAAGTAAATGCTGCGTTTAGAGGAATCAAATATGAACAGCGAGAATGGATCAACTGTCACTGAACCTTCAAACGAACAACTCACTGCTGCTTATATAGAGGTAATCTGATCATTTTTTAGTTTACCATTTAATCTCACTTCTACTTGCATGCGGTTTACTTTCTTACTCATTTGTTATCACTGGTTTTTTTCATGTTTGCTTAATCTGATTATGTTTGCTAGTGATACATGCATATAATTATGGTTTGAAATATGCATAGAATCTGACTAAAGTTCCAGTTTTCCTATGCTTTGTTTGCTTGTTCTCATTTTAACAAGCTCCTATCAATTCTAGTTCCACTTTGCATATAATTATGCTTGATRGGTAGAATAAGACTTTATTACTAGTTTTGTTTACTTTTCATATAATTCTACATTGTTTGCCTATCAATTCTGCTTTTGTTTGCCTATTGAGATGCCTTTTGTTATGTAGGTTGCAACTAACACCAAAGGACAAGTCTCTGGTCTTGGATCAATTCAGTATCTTAATGTTGATCCCAACGAATCAGATGCAGCTTCTCTACGTATGAACCTCGATGTACATATGTGTATGACTGGAATGAAAAGCATCATAGGCAACGTGAAGGAAGATGTGACACTGATGAAGGAGGATGTGAAAGGTCTGAAAAGAGCCATGGAAGCACTTTTGCGGGATCAATGAAGTAGATCCTGTTACACTTCAAGAGATTTCACGTGGTGAAGATGTGCATCATCTACTCCGAGTGAGGACTCGAAGTCTACGCATGATCCTACCTAGCTCTGTAACTAGAGCACCCCACAATCCATTGGGAAAACTCTTTAACTAAGTTTTCTTTATGTATTATCTTATTGGAATCCATATCTTAACTTAAGATCATGAATCTCTTGACTTTTGTGGTTTGTAAACTATAATCGCAAGTATTGTACTTTTGTATATTGTATTTATTATCTTTAAA